AAAGAGCCAGTCTTTTGTTTTCAAAATGGATAGAGTAATAGCAATCACCTCACAGGGTGAGATGATGTATAAAACCAGTTAGACTTGAAATATTATGACTATTATTATAAAGGTGACCACCATGGACTAAGCCATGTTGCTTTCCTTTGACAAAGAGGATAGGAAGGTAGCTTAGGATATGCAAGACCCTATTCCAAACACGTCTACATATTATTTCCATAATCATTATAACATTATGAGTAATTAATACCTCATTATCTCTCTATATATAAAAACCTAGTGACTGAACAGTGGAATGACCAGAATGACCGATTGACCAGTCACTATGACGTGCACTGACCACCAGGGGGCAGACGCTCAACACAGGAGCTGCCCCCTGGTGGTCAGTGCACTCTCACAGTGGTAGCGCCACTCGGCTGACCGGGATGAGTGGCTGCTCTTGCAGTGGCATGAGCAGCGCTCCCACTGCAGGCCAATCCCCACAGGCCACGCTCCCCCCCCACCAGTGCACGAATCCGTGCACCAGGCCTCTAGTCTAATTAATAACAATAACCTAATTAATACCATTGATTAATGAGGACGACAACTGGGGCTTTGACAGGGTAACCAAGATGACATAACTAGAAGCTATCTGACACCTTTAACCCCTTCTCCACTTGCTTTTTAATGACTGCTCTCTCCCTTTTCTCCAAGTAAATATAATAGAATTAGCCACAAGAAAGTATGCCCCATCCCCCCAAAATTATCTAAGATTCAATGAGTTAATTTCTCCTGGGTAATAAGTTTAAGCCACAGGAAGGAAACTCTAACTGGAATTTCAGACAACACCAAGCTAGGGAAAGTATTAGAGTACCATTCCTTTGGGCAAGGAACTTCCCCCCGCCCCCAAAAAGGGTTAATGACTTTTCACAGGCTGCCCTGTAGGACGTAAGCTGCCCAAGCCTAAGGATGAACCTTGACTCACTAGGGATACAGGACGGGGCACGCCCACTCCACTTCCCAGTTCTCAGACAGGTCCTCCGGCTGCTGCCCAGGCGGCGGTAGAAAGGCGAGATGCATTCATACTGGAGCTGGGTGTGCAGATGTTGGTACCCAGTGGGCAGGTCTCCAAAGGGAAGGGCTGGCTTCTTGGTAGGGACACCCTGCAGTTTCTGCTTGCTGAAGGTTGATGAGTACAGCTGGTGTAACGGGGTCTCCCTGCATCGGGGCACATGGATCCAGAGAGAGAACAAAGTGAGACAGTCATTGTGGCCTTTTTAGTTCCATGCCAATCCCCATGTAGATATTTGGTTACATTCAAAGAAAGCAATGGATTCTGTCTCTCTCCTTCCTTTATCTCCCCTTTTCTTTCATTCTCTGTCTCTCTTTCTCCTTTCCTCTCCTGGCCTCCCCCGCCCCCTCTCCGCCCCATCCTCCCCCCACAGACACACTTCCCTTCTACCATTGTGCAAATTATCTTGCACATTTCAACCTTCATTTTATTCTCCATTTCCATTTCTGGCATGTCTCCAGCTGTCAAGGATTTTAACCAAAGAAGATAATATCTGACATAATAGCTGCTATCCAAAGGAACACTAACATGCACACACACAAAAATTAAATTAACCAGGAAAGGGAGTTAATTTGAATGGGAGGAATCCAGACGTATTTTTTTTCTCTAACCGTTATCATAATGGGGCAATATCAGAAATTGGCTTGAACTAAACTGAGTTGCTACAGGAGCTTGATTTAGCAATTAGTGGATGTAATTAGTACACCTCGGAGAATAGAGCTTTCTCTCAGGGCACATTGATTGGGAAAAATATGGAGTGTTGTGTGTAAATGTCAAAAGGTTTTTTAAATGAGCCCCGAAGTTGAAGCCCCCGGAGACCACTTGGGGATTCTTGGGGGAGATGTACACACATCGTACAGCTTGTGTTCGTTTTATATCGGTGCATAATGGCTGTTCACTGGAAAGTTAGAATTCCTTTAGGAATCAATGTGCTCATCCGGCTTATTGAATGGAGGGAGGAAGCCCAGAAAGGTACCTGGGAGGGCCTGAGGGCACACAGGAAGCTAAGCCGGTACCCAAGGCAGCACTTAGCAGCCATGATTCCCACCCTGCTGTCTCTACCGCACCGATTTCATAGCATCTAACGCGATTTATTTCAGATGTCTCTACAGGGATTTGCTCAGAGCAGGTATTCAATGCCCATGGATTTCATCAGAGAGATCCTCAGCTCATGTTCAGAACCAGGTCTGCAGCTCAGGGAGCTCCCGGATTTGCAAACAAGCTCACCTCTTGGGCCATCTGCTGAAGGCCTACACTGCCTTCGGGGGTTCCTGGGTAAGCCTGGTTGCTGGAGATTGGCATATCCCCGCTCCAGCAGCCTGCCTTCCAGAAAGATCCTTAAAACCAAGTTTTAGGGTTGCTTTCTTATCTACATGGGACACCTGGCACCCGGGCCCCTGATCTCCCATTACAAGTGCTTTTAAAATGCAAAGCCAGAGTTCTTTTGTTAACAGCTCCTGCCTCCTCTATGAGATGTCTACTTGGGAAGGACAGGTGGGTCAGGCTTATCCCACTGGCTGAGGGTCCAGCCCAGGTGACTCACAAAGATCAGAAAAGGGGGTGGAATCTGGATTCCACTGCCACTGCCCCCACGGAAAGGCCCTGCCTGAAAAGGGAAGTGAGACATGGGAGTGAGACAGCCGCAGGAAGAAGGAGAGACTGATGAATATACTGCTACAAGAACATTTCAGGTCACTTAGTTGGGGTTAGGGTCAATTCTAGTCACTTATTGTTACTATTTCCAAAAAAATTATTACTGACAGGTGTGCATAAGGCTAAGGTGTTTTTGCTAAGGCCTTTACATAGACTTAGTTAAAGTTTCGTGCATAAGGGAGCAGACTGTGACGATTTCAGACCCTGGAAACCCTGGATTTGCATCTTGGCTTTGCCATTTCTTCTACCAATGTGACCTTGAGCAAGTTCCTTAATTTCTCTGAGCCTCAGTTTACCCATGTGTAATAAAAATGTTATAATAAAATGTATAATAAAATGATAATAAGACCTACTTTGGAGATTGTAGTGAGGATTAAATGAGCTAA